TAGTAATATAAGTGTCCAGCACTTGAATATGATTTACTTTCACTAGCTGTTACACTCTTTAACTTTTAAATAAATAAATGAAAATTACTCAAAGGCTGGTATCAACCATATTTTAAAATATGGTTTTATGATTCATTAAATAGGCTAACGGGTTTTCTTCTGTTCGCCTATCAGTTACTGCAATTTCATGAAATGAAACACAGCAGTTATTGACTTTTAAAAAAAGTTATGTCGGGACATACCGTAAAGTTGTCTAGAGTGAGAAGCTATATACCTCAATCGACAGTGACTAAAAAACAATTTTAAAATAAGTGTGTTATTTACCTTTATTATTCTGTTGGCTTTATTAATTATTTTTATTTTTTAAATTTATAAGCGTTCGATGCTGTAATCTGTTTTATGATCACATATAACGACGATTTTCATTTCAATGATGAACCGATCAATGTTAGATCATCATTAAAAATCTGGAAGCACTGGATGGCCGTTTCATCTCAGTATGAGATTTCTCTGCAGTGAATATACACGAACCTGCGCGGGTCCTGAGTTCGAATCCTGAATCATATACTAAAATGAAACGGACGTCCAATGCTTTCAAATTTTATTGGTGACTTACCATTGATTGGTTTATGACTTTAATAAAATTTGACAATCTCCGTAATCTCAAAATGAAAGTATAACAATGATATTTTTAAAATTCTGTTTAACTAAATAGTCGGTCATTTCCAAATATTAATTGGTGAATTGATCTATACATATGCATTCTAAATTCGGAAAAGTTGATTCACCACAAACATTAGGTTTATAAATAATTATTTCTTTACTGAATAAACCAATTAACAATTATTTCTATTCTCCTTGATTGGATTTAATCGATTGCAACTAATGAATTAGATTTATTTGAATAAAACCCAAATTAATATTTTCACATTTAAACTTTAATCCTATAATAAAATTTTAAAATAATTAAAAAGCGCTATCCATTTAGAACACATTACACAGTAATTTCAATAAGAGAAAAACAAGGTTTTTTACTTCTTACATTTCTTCATTCTCTGGTTGTATAAATTTGTGTGTCTTTTGAGAATTAATTAAAGTCTAAACAAATCTGAATTTAAATTCATTTTGAACTTTTATCTCCATTTATAAAGTTTGCAAACAAACACGATTTATCATAGTGTACAATTTTCTAGGGAATAATACTCATTTGGAATAGTACAGAAATAAGTTGACTTGTTCAAAAAACCAAAAATAAAATCTAACTAAATTGTATAAGATAATAAGTATTTGAAAAGTTTCGCAATAATCAAGTTCTCCTCAAAGTGTTTTTCTGTTCTAGGTAATTATTAATTCCAGTGTACTAGTCGAGACTAGTAAAGTGAATTAATTGAAGTTAGATATCAATACCATCATACTGTTTCAGTGGACTATAGAATAAGCGTTCACGAACGAAAACAAAGGTCCTAGGTCCGAGTTCGACATGCGGGGTCGTATGTACCCACTGTTGAGCGGTCCCATACTAGAACGAAAACGCCGTCTTGTGTTTCTGAGCTTTCGGTGGTGGTCTAATATTGATCGGTTCATGAGTTTGATGAAAAACAACTATTTTCACAATCCTATACTTACAGCTATAAAAGTCTTTGAACACCCATTATTTGGTAAACGTTGTTAGCACGTTCTGAAATGTTGATATATTTGTCTTCCTTCTCAATCCTGTTGCTTAGTAACATGCAGTGCTAAGAACCTCATAGTCTATGTTAAGACAAATAAAAACCATATAGTGATACTGAGTTATTTAAATATAAATACTGGGTTGTTTAAGTCGACTGTTAGCTGTAGAATTGTTCATGTACCAGTAGGATGCTTAATGACTTGAATGCTTTAATAGTCCGAAATTAATTCAAGCTCTCTGTATTCATAGAGCTCAACAATAAAAGATTTGATCTGAATTTGATAACAAATGTTTTGAATTTTTTCTGATACTTGTAAAATCTGATTCGGACAACTGAATTCTCACCGACTGGCTGAAAAAGCGATGAGAGTAAAGCCCTCTAATAAAGAATTAATAAAGAGCAATCTGATTTGTTTCTCTAAATAATTTCAGATGTTTTACAAATTCATATAAATAATATTATGGATAGTCAGTGCTTTATTCACTTTTGATCAAATGCAACTAGTATGTTGTAACAGAAGAAATAATCTACGATTAGTGTAGGCGATTATGATTACCAACAAATCCAGATCATTGATTGGATGGATATTAAAAGGCTAAAAGTTGATTAGCACACAGATATATAAACAAAAAATATTCCTTTGAGTACATTTTCTTCAGGTTCTACGATTATACGTTCAGATTAATAATAAAAGGGACTAATAACTATAGAATGGGATAAAAATTATTTTAAAAAACATTCTATATTCATATATCTATGTTTTAATATAACTGGAGGATTGAAACAATTTTATAGCAGTAAAATCATATACTTATACACAAAATATTTTGCACAAAATAAGCAGAAATAAAGGTATATTATTGCAATCCTCTCATTTCGTACGCTAATCATCAGTTTGTAAATTTAAGAATTGATTATCACGTTTATATACTGTCTGACATATTATAACGCAAACAGTAATTTACGTGATAATCTCATAATTTTATAGACTATTTTTTGTACAAAGGTATTAATGGACTCAATTAGAATTTTATCTAAACAGAAGAATTCTGACGGAAAATTATCCAAATTTTGTATGACTACTAATCTGATGGTAGTATATATTCGTATACTCATATTCGGACTTAAATCTATATCATATGGCTATAGAAACTAATGGAAAACATGAAACAAAGTCAAAAACACCAATTAAAGTTTTATTGCTTTTACCACTAAGCAAATGCCTTGATAAAATTCAGTGTGGTGTAATCTGATAAACTAGTGGTAAGAAACCTATGGATAATATATGTTTTCTAAAAGTTTCAAATATAAGGTGTTGTTATTCAATAAACCAATAACGTAATATGTGTAGGAAGAAAGCATGATTCAAGTAACTGACTAATTTTACTTATTACATTCTTTTCATTTTAGTTTGATATGACCCAGACACTTTAACATGGTAATTCTATGTATACAGCTACTTATGTAAGTACACGGAGATATAATTCTGAAGAATTCAGTTGAACTTCAATTACCTGAATATATACAAATTTATTTGTGATAAAGACTCTCTAAAAAAGTGTTTTTCAACTTAAAAAATAATATAGAACGAAAAGAATAAGTTCGTATCACAGCATGATGAACAGGCTTGAAACAATTTAAAAAAGAACTAACTATATCACATGAACTAGATATGATGAAGAATTCTGAAAATTTCGGTTCACTATTTAATTGTATCATCAATCCCCAATACTTATACATTTCGAACTTGGTTGCAGTACAAAACTAATCACAAATTCAAACACACAAACCTATACAAATACATTTTATCTTAAAAGCAGAAAGAACTTTAAGTTTTATTAAAGAGACATTGTATTTGAAATTGTGTTCATGAATTTCTCCTATATCATATTACATGTTTGCATGAATGATTTATTATGAAGGTTAGTTCAATGATAGTTTCTAAGGCTAGGTCGTATGTTCATACGATTCCTGAAACAAGCAGTCTCATATATATTAAAATTCCTGTAAATAAGTTTCAAAATATATTCAATAAAAAAACTGAAAGATATAAGACGAACTTATATTCACTTACAATACAAAATTTGATCGTATTTTCTTCAGGTAAACTTGTATAGGAACAGACTGAACAGTTTCACCAAAAAAACAACAACAAAATTTGAAGTTGAAGATGTTAATCAAATTAATGCTGTTTGTAATTCAGTTAAAATAGGATATTTAAGTGATTATAGGTGACGTGAGTGAACTAACACGAAGCATAGGTCTAGAAGTTCTTGTTAATCTTTTTTAATCAACTAACACCTCAACATAGTAGATACCATGTGAAGTCACTTATACGAGTGACCATTCAGCAACTTAATCGACAGAATCCGAACTGCAATAAAAGGCTAGGGAAATATCATTACTTAGTGATCAATCACTTGTGTAAACTTTTGTACTCGGACGTGAATTATATTGTTCGTATAAGAATTCCTGTTACTAATTGACCTGCCGAAATAAAGCGTATGAATTCTTAGATGAAGAAATAAGATGTATCTTGATCAATCTGTATTTCTTTTACATCCTGGAAGTGAAGTACCATATTCTCTGCTTAAAACACGAGTAATTTATTAACATAATAAAAAAGAATAACACTAATCTTTGTTTGTTAGAAACTTTTGACAACTAATGTAGTTATCTGCTTAAAAAACTGAAATATGGGATGAAGTGAAAATGTGTAAACTAGGAGGTTATATATAAATTTTGATTTGTTTAGTGAAATTCATGGCTTTGATATAAATTATGTCAGATGATTTGAAACTAAGAAGATATTGAATAGTTTACAGAAATGCAATGTATCAAATAAACTGTCATAAGTGAATAGGTTAGTTCGATTGAAAAGTATGATAAGTGAATATCTGACAGGAATGTGAAAACTAATCTATTACTTGAGAAATGGAAAAAAGAAGTGTTGTAAATTCAATGTTACCTTTTTATTCTGACTTATACACGATCTGTTATCGCTTATACAGTTTTAAGTTGCAATGACATTTTCAAAATAAACGTTGTAAATCAAAATTAGAATCAAAAGGAAATTGAGAGTGGTATAGATAATTTTTATGTTTTGTAAGATTGTCCAACTTAAACTAATTGTTTCGACAAATAAATTTCTTCACATTTCATATTTTACAGGTAAAGATGAAATATAACTCTTCGTGATGAACCTGAGCACAATGCATTGGAAACTTTAAAAGTATACTACATTTTTTTATTCGGAATTAATTAGGCTTGGAAGCACCAAAAAATATTTTTAGATAAAGTAATAAAATTTATGTGAACAAGTGTTCTACGATAGTATGATTTTATTATCCCTCACATAATACAAAAATGCATGTAAGTTTCTATATTAGAAGCTTAAATTAATCCATTTTTTCTGAATGGAAACCCGGTGAACCAGAGAAGTCAACAGGAAACCAAATGTACTATGGTGAGTTATCTTATTGGATCTAAGTGAACTATGAAACTCTTTGATCTTCATTTTCGGTATTCATTGAAGATTCGTAGATTAGCTTGATAAAAGGTAACTTGAAAGAAACTAGATTTTTTTTCGTTTCTAAGCACACAGCATTGAATGGAACAACTACTATTAACTTAATCCTACGAAATTATTATTAATTTAAATATTCTTTCCTAACGGAAAATTATTTTTTTAGTTATTAAGCAGATTCAGCGATTTGCTTATAAGTGCTACTTGCAGTGTTAGACTGGTCCTGAAATATGTGCCATTTTCATGTCGGCTCAGCAACAACCAGTTATCAAAAGTTTTCACTTATCTAATTAATTTTAGATGTTGATATTATCCAACAGAATGATTAGTCATAAACAGTTCTATATGGATAAACTTTAATAATAATTTCGAACCACTAGTGTCTATCGGTAAAAAGTGTTCACGGTAACTCCTACCATTTTTATTGGTTTATAGTCATTTTGGAAAAATATGGTTTTATTTGGAGATCAGTCAGTTTGCATAAACTAATTTGTAAGACACTTCTAAATTTAAGAATCAAAACTAGTAGTATCAAAGAATAAAAAGCTAGATGTATCAAGTTGGAATTACCAGTTCTAATAGTATTGTTTATATTAACATATCACAAAAATATAACAAATTATCATGGTAACTAAGACAGTCTGTAGTAAACAAATGGTGGAAACTCAGTAATCAACCAGTGTATATTCATCTTTTCGTGCTTCCAAGTTAGTTTTCCATAAAAATTTACTCTCTTGAATAGCTTCTTTGATTGACAGATCAAAGTACACTGAAAATGTTTTACTTGCATGTAAAATTTTATCGGTGATTATGAAATCCAAACTTGATCGAATTCTTCTTCATAAAAGAGCAACTCGATGACTTCAAACTTTATGGTACAATTATGTAACAATGTTGTATGTACGTAAAACGTAATTGATTTAATACTTGGTATTGGAAATTTGTGAATCAGCCGACATAAGTAGGAATGCGAAGGACTCAGATACAGATTTATTAGACATCAAAAATAAATAATAATAATGTCTGAACACATTAATTTTGTATGACTTATTTATAGTCAGATTAACAGTCGGACTTTTATAAGTCGAAACCAGTAGTATATAGCACATGAATGAAAAATAATTCGCTAACAATAATGAATAAAACTAATCCTTTTCTTCTCATCTCACTCATATGAACAATTAAAAAAAGAATTCAACGAATCTTAACATTTACATTGTAATTATTGCTTGTATTACTCATATTGTAAAAAAGTACATGCAGTCATAGTTAAGCAATAAAAACCATATTCTAGAAATAACCATAGAAATCAGTTATTAAAAAAATATATATTTCTATTACATTTTCGGGATTTTACAGGCATATAAGAAATTATTTACTAAGTGGACTTATAACTGAGCTACCTACATTTGATGACATTGGAATTGATCTATGACTGTGAAACACACCCAATGGTAATTGCATAGCTAAATTATCTAGTTTTAAACGTCCTAATGGATCATCACGTTTAAATAATACTTCTAAAAATGGTCGTGAAAATGTAAAACTAACAATAATATAAAGACTTTGTAAAGCTATAAAAATTCCGTAGAATTGCCATACAATAGTATGACATATATAATTTGATATGAATGCAAGTATCCATAAGAAGGTATGACTTATCGCCATTTTGCTAAACATTCGAAAACGTGCTTTCACATCCACTGACTGTGATGAAAAATGAGCTTGTATAAGACAATTTGTATCAGTTTTAATTGATATTAAAATAATAAGAACAATAGATGCAAAACATAAAAAAGCAACTGGTATATGCATTAACCATTGGTAAGCAGTTAAACAACCACCTAGATTGCCGCATGTAATAATTCCATAAGCAGGATTCCATATGCTATTCAAATTTAAATAATATGAAGCCCAAATTCCATAGGTTGTCGGAAAAATTGGTAAACAAACAATAGCACTTATTACAATGAAATTCCGCATACGATTATTATGCATCCTTACATCATTATTAATGACACGTGGAATTATATTGCTCTGATGACTGGAATATCCATTTTTCAGTGCTACAAATCTTGTTTTTCTTTCTTGATCTTTCTTAATTCGCTCTAATGACCGAACTGTTTTGAACTTAGCTTCTGGTTGTGTTATAACACATTGAAATTTTCTAACAAAATTGCCCTTTGGAACACCAGTTATTGCACATGAATTAGTAAACCAATCATTATACTTTGTTTTTTGACAAGATGTACTTGGACATTTCTGTTTTTTCCACAAACAGTGAGGTGATTTGAAATTCCATGATTTTGTTTTGATGGATGAATGCTTGTAACAATGATTCAATTGTAAATGGTGCTCAAACAGACCGAAAAATATTCCAAGATATATAGACAGAATAAGATAATGTGTTAGGAAATCCATGAATCGGCAGTTAAAAAACATATTTTCTCTAGTAAAATAAGTTACTTCTTTATTAGTCATATTGAAACTAATTGTTGATGGCATGTATGCACTAAAAAATAAGACTCCATTGTGTAGTGAATTGAATAAAATAATAAGCGACAAACAATTCCCATAAAGTCTTCTCAAACTTTTATTTACAGAGAATACCATGATAAAGTGAGCGAACATAGTAATTGAAGCTACTGCCATACTTATATGTGCAACTGTTGATTGACTTCGTAATATTGGACAATAAGAGTTAATTGATCTCGAATATGTTTCATTTAAATAAGTAATTTCAATTGTATCCCCATGAATCATAACGCTGTCTTCATGTATGGAATTAGTCATATTATTCTCCAATTTTGTAAAATTATTATTACCTGGTTTATGATGATAATCGAAACAATCGTAAATTATTTCTGAAACACTTCTTGGAAATCCAATAAAGTTAGATGAGTCAGGCTTATCAATTGCCATTTTTGTTAAAACAAGAAAATATTTTTTTTTCACAATTCACTACATAACTTCTTCTGAATTAATATATTATGCCTTATTTTTAAATAGATAGTTGCAATCTGTTATTGATATGAATAGATACTGTCATAATACTGATGACTATCAAAAAACAATTTTATATATATATATATATATTTATATATAAATTTGAATATATCTATTAAAGTTACAAAACAATTAATTTAACGATGGAATATATCCAAACAAACGTTTAAAAATACTTAATCCTAATTGGTCAGTAAAAACTAAGAATATGATTGGTTAAATAAGTTTACATACAAGTGAACATTGTTTTCAGCTTTTAATCAATAGTAAAAAGTAAATGATTTTTTACTTTTATGAAAATTAACTTGAACATGAACTAATTAATTAATGATGGTGAAGATAGTTAATAAAAAATCCAGAATAAATGAGTTAGATCATTCAAATGTTTTTATAAATGTGGTTTTCATGTTACGAACACACCGTATATATATTCCCCCCGGGGGCTACTGCCGGTCCCAAGCACGGATAAAGGAGGAGGGTTGAACATAGGTTTAGCGACCCCATCCCGTAGAAAACTAACTCGCTAAATAAACGCTAACCAGAAATATATCACGATCAGCCTATCAGTAGGTTTAGTCCCCAGTCTAAATAAGAAATTTATTTAATTTATCATAATTAAGACCATAACCTTCCATAAATGATTTTCAGAACGATATGTTTTCAATTTTGAACATACTGAGTATTTAATTATGATAGACTTAAATTCTTTTTATTAAGTCATTTCTATTCTAGCAAATGCGAGTAGAATAACTTTCATTTCATTTAAATTATGTATTGAAATACATAAGGAATGAATAGATTCATATTAAGAAATAACAGTTCTCAAAGAATTTATGTAGAAAGTGAAGAATATCACAATTGATGAATACATATACTAATTAACTAAATTTTGGCTTAAGCCTGCTTATTTTAAGGATAAATAATTATTCTTACATAATTTTTCCATCAGCGATCTAAATACGTTTAATTATTTTAGATAACCAAGATGTTAGTAAAAAAATCACTTGACAGTATTTATCCACTTATTTACCATATATTTGTTTATACATACTTGTTCTGCTTCACTGCCGGTTCATTAGTTTACATCCAGGTATGTAAAATTGGGATTTACAGAATTCATTAAGAAAATGTTATTCATTATCGACATTTTAACTGTGCTGGTTTAATAAAACATATATTGCAGCCTCCTTTTCTTCAATGTTCATGCTTAGTTTATATTGCGTATAACGACTTTACCAGACGATTCATACTACACCACTGGAAATTTATTGGATTAGGGTAACACACTAATTTTGATATGAATATCAGAAGTAACAAATTATTTTCTTCATTTCTGTTGAATTTTTATCGAAAAACATATAAACCTAGTTTGTTTAGATTACAAATAATAAGTTTAATAGTAGTGAAAATCAATGAATTGTTCTAAATAATAAAGTAAACCAAATATTCACAGGATCTATAACTCACAAGACATATCTTCTGAGTTTTGAACTTATCTATTTTCGAAATTTAAGTTATTTGTATGTAAAACTCAAAAAGAATTTAGGTAAAGGCTTTTAAGTAGCAGTTCAGCTGGCCTTCAGCTACTCTACAACTACCCTCCATCCCCAGACAGTGTGAACGGAACATTGAAGTAGGTCCCCCAACTCTAGCTGAAGTTCATAAAGCAGCTGGTTTAGATGAATTGACTCCAGAGGTCTTTAAGAATGGTGGTCTAGTTTTAGCGATTAGGTTGACTAATATTTTAGCTAAAATCTGGGAGTTGAACGTAATCACATCTGACTGGTCACAATCACTTATCGTCCCAATATATAAGAGAGGGTCAAAATCATCCTGTGATAACCATAGAAGGATAAGTTTAACTAATATAGTATCTAAAATACTAGCCTCGATAATTATCAGACGCCTAACTAAGACTCGTGAACTGCAAACACGAGAGAATCAAGCTGGCTTCAGGCCTGGTCGTGACTGCATCGAGCACGTACTCACCATTCGTCAGGTTCTAGAACACAGGCATACTTATCGGCGTCCGACAATGGTGGTCTTTCTCGACTTAAAAGCAGCATTTGACTCTGTAGATCGCGAGATTCTGTAGCAGTGTCTGCCATTGAAAGGCGTACCACAGAAGTACATAAACCTTGTGAAGGCTCTTTACTCGAACACTACTAGTCGAGTCAGAGCTTATGGCGAACTGTCATCTGCTTTTGCAACATCAAGTGGTGTCCGTCAAGGCTGTCCACTTTCTCCATTTTTGTTTAACTTCATCATAGATCTACTGATGGAAATAACACTCTCGTCGACTGAATTCTCGGGTATTGATCTCCTTCCAGGAGATCCACTTATCGACTTAGAATACGCAGATGACATAGTCCTGTTTGGTGAAGACGCTGACAAAATGCAGAGTCTTCTGGTAGCACTAAGCAACAATGCCAGAATGTTTGGGATGCGCTTCTCTCCCTCTAAATGCAAGTTGTTGCTTCAGGACTGGTCTCCGTCAACACCTGAACTAAGGATAGGGAGTGAAGTAGTTGAACGCGTTGACAACTTCACTTATCTTGGAAGTGTGATCAGCCCTAATGGGTTGGTGTCTGACGAAATCTCAGCACGGATTCGAAAAGCTCGTTTGGCTTTTGCCAACTGACGTCACCTTTGGTGAAGGCGAGATATCCGTCAATCAATAAAAGGACGAGTATACTGCGCGGCAGTCAGTTCTGTTTTAATTTACGGCAGCGAAACGTGGCCATTAGGAGTAGAAGACACTCGTAAGCTACTAGTATTTGACCACAGATGCCTTAGAAATATTGCCACCATCTTCTGGGATCATCGGGTAAGTAATAGTGAGGTTAGACGCAGGGTATTAGGTAATGATGGTAAATCAGTTGATGAGGTTGTTAATCTTCATCGACTGAGATGGTTGGGCTACGTGTTATGTATACCTGAACACCAATTACCACGACGTGCAATGCTATCGGGTTTTAGAGTTGGTTGGAAGAGAATTAGGGGCGGCCAAACCAAAACGTGGCATTAGTGCTTGAAGTCACTAACTTCTAGTCTGAGCCATGTTGGGAGATGCAGACTACTTTGCTGGGGTCCGCGAAACTACCGTAACCAATGGTTGGAGACTATTGGTGACATGGCTCAGAATTGGTCACAATGGCGTAGGTGTACACACTCTTTGTCTTCCCTTAAACTATGAGATTAAAATCACTTCATATCTTTCTTTCTACGAACTAATTCTTTCTTCCTGTACTATATCCTTAAATGCAATCTTTGTTTTGTATATTACCACCACTGAGTTAACTGCTTCTATGAATTTGGTGTTCATCTTGTTGTGTTAATGAGGTATGGTAACTTGGACCGATGCACATATGTGCCTGGTCCTACGTTGTAGTTGACTTACTTTCTTATTTAAAATAAATATGATCTTTAATTGATTATATTCGTTTCATCAAACTAATTTATCTACAATTTATTTACTAAAACTAAGCAAAACTAATAATTGTATCAATCTTCTAAAAAACATATCAAATGATGGCTGTGAGTTGAACATGAAATTAAAAGAATTCTTGTTTTTAAAACCATATTTTCTTACTGTAAAGTAGATGCAAATTTCTGCGACAAACACTTTCAAAAACAAAATTTTTATCAAAAACTTATTATTATATCTCATTACGGAAAATTAATTATAGTTAACCATTTTATACAAAAAATTATAAAAACAATATATTGTGTATAAATGTCTGATGATATTTAGGTTATATTTGCCTAATGTTTTTTGACCTACAGTCTTTTAAATAGAGCTTATCGTTTGGGTAGGATGAATACTTGAATTAAATCATCTTCAAAGAAGCTTGTCATAACGAAGAAAAAAAATCAATTTTCAATTACAAGTTTATTGATTGTGAGGTAAAGTACACAGAATCCTTATAAACAATTCTCCAATATCCAGCTAGGCTAAGGAAAAGGTGTATCGAATCAGGTGGAATTTTGCTTAATTTCATTTGGTAGATCAATAAAATATTTAAAAGTATATCTAGAAAAAAAATGGAAAAAGTATTACGTTTGGTTTGATTACTTTTACTTTGTATAATGAAATCAGAATATTTACCTATTTGTTATTTGAGTCATAGTTCCACTAATTATTCGTTATTGGTTAACATACTACCAAACATTAAGAAGTAATAAAAGAAAAACATATCTATGAAAATCCATAAACTTTGCATCTTGTTTACAATTTAATTTTCATATTTCGTTTTGTGATTTTTATCTCAAGTAATATATATGTCATTCATGACATTGTTAACCCTTCTCATTAAATTGTGAGCGATTCAAGTAATTTCAAATAACAATTCGACTTTATTTTATGCATTCCATGCAGTAATTAGTTAACTGATATTTTGCGATAAACCAATGATATATTTGATTTCTTAAGAAATTAGAACTCTCTTAAGATTAGATAAAAGAGTTAGGTAGAAACTGGAGAGATGTTTGTAAATATTTACAAAATAAAAAAGATGCCTGATTTTACGACTTATCAATTTCATAACTAGAATGTCTATTTCCATTATTTCATAATTGATAGTTTTTGTCCAAACATCACTTAGGTTATTATCCTAGTTTTCGATGAAAGTTATTGAGCTTAAATGTAGATGACTGGATTCAGTATTCAAATGGGAATCTGTATCCAGTAAGTGAAAAAACCCATCTGAATAATAAGAAATAAATTGATCTATAGATAGTGTAACGTACTCATAAACATATTGGCTTTCATAAGCTTGATTTTGTTGATCATGTATAATCTAACTCACTGATCATTTTAGTGCCACACAAGCTTAGCATTAGAAATTTTTGTATGCATTACATTTTTTTACTTGTTTTGGTGGTTACTCGGTGAGTAAATTATTTGACTTTCATGAAACTGAAGGATTTGATTCCGCCTCACTTTATTCGGTTTAAGCCGTTGATGATATAAACTTCAATTTAGTAAATAAGATAACTTTCCAGTCATCAATAATCCACTGGCTAATTGACATGTGTTGGCGAGACCCGGAAAATTCTTCGAAAACAACCTAAAGGGACAATGAAAACGCTGGGA